AGAAAAAAAAACATTTCTGCTGTGACAGTAGTTTGGCATTGTGCCAGTCGTGTGGCGTGCACGGTGCTGCGTGGTCGTTGGGGCGGAGTTGTGAGTATTTTCGGTGTTTTAAATGGTTGATGGCCATTTGAACCAGCTTTATATTATTTCCTACCAATTTCTGCATCAAATTATTGCTTTGAAAGACCATTGAAACCCCTTATCTCTTCATGAAACACGATCATATTCATCGTCGACGAAAATGGCGCGGGACTCCAGATGTGTTTCGATCGAAATAAATCGTAAATTAAATAATATTCGATGGTAAGTATCATATTTTAGTGACACATTTTCATAAAATAAGGCATAAACTTTGCAAGGAAGTCAACATTGGATAATTGGATTCTTATTTTGCTCACATATCCTTGTAGTAGTCAAATTGCTCAATTGTTACATAAATGTAAGTATATGTTTTGGCTTGATGTTTGCTGTGAAACCACCCAGCCACTTGCTGGTTGAGTGGTTTTCTGATAATTACCTGATAATCATTTCTCCTTTTCCTTAAAAGAAACTAAAATTCGTTTCAAAGTAACCTTATTTTAGGAAAGGCGGCTTGCTCATTGACATTTCATGTTCTTGTTTTGTTGTTGCTGGCAGTATTTTGATACAATAATGCAATATGATTTTTTTGCAATAATAAAACCTAAGACAAACTTAGTTAATGCGTCAATCAAACACCCAATAGAAAGATTGTGAGTCCTTGTCACGTGAAGCGGAATATTCTATGAATGTGTTTTATAGAATATGCCAAATTTTAAATTAATTTATTATTTGATACTGATAGCTGAGCATGTGAATTATGCCACAATATAATTTCATTTGCTGGTTTTGAAATAGCCGGCAGTATTTTACTTCAACAAATGTAATATACATGGAATACATGTTGTTATGTTATGTTAAAAGTTTAATAACAGCCAACAGAAGGGGGTGTTTCAGCAGATAATGTTTGTACCTTATGCATTACCTTTCTTTTCTGCAGGACCATGCTTCCGCTGGGTGGTCGACATTTGCCTCCTGAAGAAGTTGAGCAACATGAAGACCACCAGATGAGGTGTCTGCAGTTCATGTGGAACTCTGCAGACTACAAGTGTTATGCCAACCACAACCAAAGTGCTGTGATCATGGAGGCATGAACCTCATGACAACACTTCAGATTTGCAGTTGTACCAAAGTGTGATTCAAACCACCTGTGGCATCTCACTCAATGCGTGGCCGTGAACAGTGTGATCATTGTGCAGTGTTCAGCTGCATCTGAGACATTTATTAGTTAGTTGTTTTGCAATTAGCCACCAAAAGCATTTTTTGGGCTGGCTGCTGTAATTTGTTGTGCACTGCGCAATGGTAGTGTTTTGTCACTTGTCATTGTCAGTTGTGCATGTTGCATGTTTCTCTCCCCTCGGCCCTCATTATCAGTTAAGTGGTGAATTGGCATCACTCGGTCTCCCCAGATCTTCATTGACTGTCTGTCAACCACCTAACTTGAGATGGTATTTGCTAATAGTGTCAGAAAAGAAGTGAATTGTAGACATTTTTAGGAATATGAGCTCCGTTTCATGCGTGTTCCAGTGGTCATTTTGTCACATGCCCCATAGTGTAATAAATGGAAACTGTTGTTCCCTTTTGAAGGTACTCGCGGATGCAGAAAGCGTTGGGCCTAATTATCAAACGCTCCCTCCTATCAGCGACGCACGAAATCGACAAATATAATCCTTTTTAGAACAGGAGGAAACGAAAACTTGTGAACATAGCTGTACCTACAACAGTGCATAAGGAATTGAAATTCTGGGAGTTTTTGAAATTCGGAGAAACTCAAGTTGTCGACAGGTATGCCCCCTTGTACTTTAAAGACCGCCTAAAAAACAAACGTCTACAAATGAAGGCAGTATTCGTATGTTCGTTGTAATTGCAGCAGCCTAGCAACATGCATTGCGGTCCGATGGCGAATTACACTCGTGCTCAAAAACTATGCCGGCAACTACCAATGCACTTAGGTCATAGGTGAGGAGAGGAAGGGTTATGTCAAATGTCAACATCATAGAAATGGCTTCATCTATTGAGCTGTGCCTATTGTACATAATTCAACCAATCTATGCATTTCGTTTCTTGCAATCTACTCATGCTTTCACTCCAGCTTCAGAGTAATCATCCCACATTGTACGTCTTAAGATATTGATTTCTATGGCGGTTTGCAATTGCTAGCCACGTCTTATCTCAGTTTGGTGGCCCCGCATCGGCCCACTCGCCCGCTCTAAAATTGACGTACGGAGGAGGATGGTGGCTTTTATTTTAGCTTCTCCGCTGACTGCGGGGAGCGCCGTCGCCGAGGTAGGAGCAATAATTAGCTTATGTTTGGGACTAATTTCCATGCTTAATTAACATTTTAATGTTATTTTAATTAATTCATGTTAATCTTTGACGCATTCCCTTTCTATTGATACCATCCACCGGTCTGAGAAGTACTGCCTTGCTGCGTAAGGGCTGATAAAAGATCACGCTTTTAGGGGTATCTCTTCAACATGGGGCAGGAGCAATAAATAGAGCGCTCTAATTTTAGCTTATTTCCCTGGTATGTCACCAACTGAACTGGGGCCTTCACAAGTTGCCAAGCCGTTCAGCTAAATGGCAGTGTCGACAGTCGACATCATTAGGGTAACCATGGGAGTGCATGGGACATGGCACAATAATCACTCTGGATGTATCGCCAAGGGCAAGTACCGGATAGGGTTCTTGTATTGGCGTGACATGCTTTTTGTTCTAGTCTTGCAGTGCAATTATTTCTCGTTTCACTTTCATACCACTGAGAGGGCAGGCTTGTGGCTCATCTCAATAATTGAGGTCAGTGTGGCTTTCAACTGGTCTCTTGTGCTAGTTCGGAGCGGATTGTTTGTACTCTCGGCCGGCTTTGGTGCGGATTTCCCGCCCCTGTTTGAAGGATTGGTGCGGATTTTGAACTTGGGCCGGTGCGCCTCGTCAACCTGCAAGCCATACTTTGCAGATTGGCCTGATGCTGTGCAGTGCAGCATACAGATGTTTGCAGACGACACCAAAATCTACCGTCCACTGAGTAGCTCGTCAGACGCTGAAAGGTTGCAGGCCGACTTGAACGTAACCATCAACTGGTCAGACGTGGCAGCTCCACTTCAATGTAGAAAAGTGTAGGGTTCTGCACATAGGGCCACATAGGGCCATTCATGTAGGGCCAGCGAAGGTCAGATGTACTCCATGGGTGAGGCGCAGTTGGAAGAATCCACTGTTGAGAAAGATCTTGGTGTCCTGGTCGACAGTGAGTTGAAGTTTCGGGAGCACGCTGCAGCTGCGGTGTCGAAGGCCACACGTGTTCTATCAGTGATTCGCAGATCTTTTGAATCCATCGACACAGAAACGCTCCCAGCCCTTTTCAAAACACTGGTCAGACCAGACTTAGAGTATTGCTACTCTGTCTGGGGCCCAATCAGTCGAGCAGACCAACGAGTGGAGAGGGTACAACGAAGAGCTACCAAGTTGATACCAGCGATCAAGAACCTACGGTACACTAAAAGGCTCCGACGTTCAGGTCTGCCGTCACTCTACTACAGGAGGCGACGAGGAGATATGATCGCGATATACCGGCTGCTGCACGGTGGAGTCGACCTGGATTCGGAGCTGTTTATCACGCCAGCTGCCGCTGGCCCCACCAGAGGCCACGCCTGGAAATTGAGGAAACCGGGGGTTGAAACAAGAACGAGAAGACTCGCTCTTGGAGTCAGGGTCGTAAACGACTGGAACGCCCTACCAGCATCGGTTGTTTCATCTCGCTCCTTGAATGCCTTCAAAGCCAAGCTCGACGCCCACTGGTCCCACCTCCAATGCACCATTCACATCAATGATGTGACATAGTGTGGTATGATGACAATGAGGAAGTGACACAGTCAAGGAGCTCGATAAAATAAGAGTCAAAGGCCAAGTGGTTCTAAATCTCGTACATCGTAAGTGTAAGTGTAAAAATTAGCATTGCCACTAAATTACTTACTTATGAAGTAAGTACCTGGTGACCTGGACCTCGTTTCATAAAGCGAGTCCGTAACTTACGCCGGTTTTTGGTCTTTTATTGCAAGTGCATGTGAAGTGATGACGATAATTTGAATCGTTGAATTTATTTATCTTGCAAGCAAGAACAGAAGGGAGAAGGGGAAATAAATTTATCTCTTCACATGCACTTGCAATACAAGACCAAAAACCGGCGTAAGTTAGGTACGGACTCGTTTTATGAAACGAGGCCCAGGTCTTATCCATACAGCTTCTTTATTGACCCTTAGGTAGTGGTCAAACATGTTACAGGTATTCTCATGACTACAGCCTGGGTGGATCCTGAGTGTCTGACCTTGTCATTTCCTGTACTTTGAACATCCACTGTCTGAGGTTTCCTTGGCTGAATTTGCACTGGATATATGGGCCGACCGACTGCAGTGTACTGGCCGTGGGCCAATGTGCATCCTATTGGCTGAATTTGAGTTGTTATTTATGTCTTTCATTTGGCCTAGTGGATAAGGCATCAGTCTTTTACTTGATTGGAGGAAGTTTGCAGCCAAGAAAGTCAATGTCGTTTGAGCCACGTTTCTATATTCAGCCAGCGGACACCTAGCGAGAGGGGCCATGCTAGACCCAGGGGAGGACTGTGTTACCAATTACCTGCAATTCGTCACACTTTTGATTAGAAATATCACTGGTGAACCGGGCACGGGCGAATTCTTGATTAAAAAAAAAAAGCTGTAGCTATTCATGCCAGAGATGAGGGAATTTCCTGAAGAAGAAGAAAAAACAGTCGTAACCCGGCATGCATTGTCTCGAGACCTGGGGCTACCTATATAGCACCGGAACAGAGCTCTGTCTGGCCACTGACCAGCTGCTCAGCTGCTCTGTGGGCCGAGTTGGAGTGGCTAAGTCATCAGCCGTGGTTTGGTTTCAGGTGGCATCACCTTGCCATGCTGATGAATATGGGAGATGACGGGAACGACGTCAAAAGAGTCGTGATCTCCGAGGACGACCTCATGTCCATCAACAAGGAGGCTCTGCTCAAGATATGGAAGAGGCAGGAGAAGTACATCACTTCACTGGAGCAAAAACATCTGGCAGAAGGTAGGCTATGAGTCAGTGGCTGCTTGTCCTCTCTAAATAGTGCAACTGTTTTAATTCTTGTTTATACTAAATATATGTCAACTCGTCAGTCTTGGTACTGTCTGAAAATCAATTGTCTCATTTTTTTAGTGCTTTTGTAGAAGCTTGATTACTTTGTCTCAAGTGAACTTCGAATAACATATGGCCAGTTCGATTGGATGTGAATTAAGTATATTTAAACTAGATAATTGTTTTCAATAACAATGTTAAAGCAGCTGCCCGTAATTAAGAGCCATTCTTAGGTAGCACACCTATAGGTATCCAACCTTATCCTAAGAAATATGAACTTAAAATGGGAGTCGAAAATGGGAAATTAAAATGGGAGTCTGCTACTGAATATGATTATTATCTATTTCCATTGCAGTGAAAGATCTGGAGGCGAAACTGCAGACGGCCCTCCACGATAGTCAGAGGAAGGAGGACCTCATGGTGATGAGATTAAATGCCAAAGAGCAGGAGCTGCAGGATTACATGGTGAGTGCTCGTCTCGGACAGACCGGGCTGGCTGATTGATCAGAGTTGGCACGCCGTGGTCAAATTTAACCGTGTCCTGAAATATTGCTCGACACTTGACAGTCGAGCATCATGTGCCGGCCTCCCAGCTGTCGTGAGTTCCCGACCTGGGCCAGTTTGTGCGGCGTTGCAGGCGTGGCTGTCTGCGGCGCGTCAGCTGCCAATTATCCCAGTTGCCGCATCCGTCAGTGGCGCTATCAGCTGCCCTGTGCCGGGCGAGCGCGGCCACTGCCGGGTGCGGGCCACCCCTCAGGGACACAGACAGGGCGGCCACTGCCGCGCGCGCGGGGGGGGGGGGATCCAGCGCCACATCTGCTAGACCTATCGTCCCTGTCGGGTTCCTCTCAGCTCCGCCGTTGGCCACAAACGGCGTTCATTGACTTATAGTTCTCCCCGATCAGGGCAATACACATGACACTGTCAGCAGGTGCGCAGCAGCACTTTCCATATTTTTTTTTGGGGGGGGGGGTGGAAATGGCCAACGGGACGAGTGTGTGGCCAGTACACGGTACCTTTACAACATCAGTGAAATGTCAGCTCATTCACATGAAGCTTCGAAACCTTGACATGCTTTATTTCAGGTATTATTACGCCTTACGTGTGTGCCATTTTTATTCAGACGATTTTATCGGTGCCAGTTAGGTAACAGCCATAAGAAGAGTGACGGTTCTTAAGCTTTAGCGTTCATCTCATTCGTTGTCCGATTTGTGGTTGCAACGGATAAAATGCACTGAATTTTTAGGGTGTGATAATCGCAATTGCTCTTTTGAGCGAGGGCCTTGTTTTTTTTTAAACATAACCGCTTTCCCCATTATTCGACGATCTTGTATTTCAGTTACCGACCACTGTATATTATCGTTCACACATGCGTTGTTTGTTCGTTTCAGAACCAGATCAGCGAGATGAAGTCTTCCAGCGCCAACTCGGCCGTGCGGAACCTGCTTCTGGACCCGGCAGTGAACTTTATCATAGAGAAACTAAAACGGGAACTGTGTGACACCAAGGCCAAACTGGAGGAGACTCAGAGCGAACTGTCGGCATGGAAGTTCACCCCGGACAGGTGTGCTCTCTCGCCACTATCCCCGCGCTCAGCTCCCCGAGATGTGCCCGCGCCCGCCCGCGCGAGCGACTGACATTTGCAGCCGCGGGGCCGGCGGCGCCGTGTCCGAGGCCGCGCCCCTCTGACCGGCGACCGGCCGCACACGGACGCTCGCGGGGCCCGCCAGGGCAGCTGCTGCATGACTGTGATAGGAACGTCCGGCCTAGCCGACTGAGTGTAGTAACGAGTCTTTCATTCGGTGATTCGAGAATGCGCCTAGGTTTGAATTATGCATTGTGTGTGGGGCACAGTCGGTTCATGTTAGTTTATGAGCTGTGGGTTCACCTGGGTAGACATGGCCGAAGGTGCCAATTGCTGTTTATGTGGCCAATAATCCCCATCCATTTAGGTTTGTTATCCTGCTGTGATTGTGGCATGCATACTGTGCTAGTTATTCGTTTAAGTTTTGTTGACTTTGCTTTTGTGAAATCATTTTCTTATTCAACCAGTTTTCGCCTAATGTTTAGTTTTTTTCTTTTGCGGTATTCATTTTCAACTTTACTTCTTTTAGAAAAAAACTAGTTTCTTCAACCAGCATTTTTGGAAGTAGTGAAACACACGTAAAGACGAACATCTTAGGGCTACAATGTTCAAATTTAAAAAAAAAACATTGCTTAACACGATGCTTGTTAAGAACCATTTACTAATCGTTTGTATCATATCTCGAACTTAAGCATCGCAACTTCGCCCGTCAACTTCCCAGGGTATAAATGAGTCGCCTGAATATTCAAACGTCAACGTTTCTGTTAGGGGTCTATCAACAATATGTTTAATACCTGGTGTCAGCTCGTGACCGTCTACCTGTTTTGTCGCCTAGTGTCACAACTCGCCACCGATACTGTCCAACGTTTACAGCCGTTTGGGGCCTTCGCGCGTTATTTCTGTAAGCATGGGTATGCGTGTGGTGGCGTGAATGGCTGGTGGGCGACTGGATGAGTGAGTCTGAATGGTCTTCTTACGTCCTCTCGCCTGTCTGCTTCGATGGCGCCTATTTAACCGCAGCCACATTTACAGCCATTGCCACGAGTTGCCGCCAGAAAGCGCCCCGCCGGGGTAGATCTCCGAGCCTCAGTGGCTCCTGTGATAGCGCGAGAGCGGTGCACGGAGCGGATCCGCGCTCCGCCGCGGAGCCGGTGCTCAGAGACGCGCGCGGTGGCTCGCAGGCAGCGGTGTGCGCGCGCTGGCAGGTCCCGGTGCAGTGGCGAGATGCGCGCGAGGCGAGCGGCGTTGGTGGTGCGCTGGCGGCTTTTGTGGCGTACCAGAGGCGTTGGTGGCGCGCGAGGATCGCTTGTGTCGCGGGGCGCACGCAGTGCCGGGTAGCAGTGCTTTCCACCGGCAGCAGTGCCTGCTGGCCGACCGGAAGGTCAGCGGTGTCACGATCTATCCAGTCTCGCATTGCCTCTCCAAGTGACGGAGCTCCGTCTTCTGCCGGGGGACGTCAGCCGCCCGCCCAGCGTCTGCCAACTCCTTCACCTGCCCATTGCAGGCACCTGCGTGCATCCACATGTGAGCGAATTTCGCCGCGGAGCCCGTGGCGCCGTTGGAGGGCGTTAGTGCCCCGAGAGGGTATCGAAAGTCGTGCTCGCGCGCTCGGGGACAGTGGTGGTCGATGGTGCTCGCGGTGGTGCGTTGGTGCTGGCTCGGTGGTGCGGTGTGCGCGGTGCTCGGCTGATCGCGTGGTGCGCCGTCGGTGGCCGGTGGGCGGGGTGTGAGGCCGGCTGGCGGGTCGGAGAGCGCGCGGCCGGTGCGTGCATGAGATGGCAGCGCAGCGGTCGGCGGAGTGTCCGCGGTTCTTCAGCGTCCCGAGTCGCGGCGAGCGCCGGCAGGGCAGTGCTCCTGAAACGCAGTGCTCCTGAAAGGCGAGTTATGCCTTGCGCCAGCTTTTGCCGAGTTCATTTGTGGAAAGTGGCGGTCATCCCACATCAACAGCAGCAGCTACTGAGAGATCGACAGCAGCGGCGGCGGCGGCGGCGTCCCCCTGGGCCTCCGCGCCCCAGCCTGACATGACCACACGGCGGGCCTCCGTTCGTAATGCTAAGTGTGCTCTGAGAGTGGCGGCGCGGCCCGGTCGGCCGGCCGGCCGCCGGTTGACGTTGCCCCGCCCCGGGCAGGCTGGTGAGTAGCCGCCGCTGACGGCGCCCGGCCTCACCCGCGTCTTTGTGTTGCACACTCTGAGCTGCCGCCTCACACACATAGCTGCTGCCGCTGGCGCCGGTCACCTGTGTGTGCCATGTTTTCAGAGGGGTGCGGGCCGTAACGCAGCCGCGGGGAGCGGGTCACTGTCCGTGTATGGCTGTGTGGGTCAGTGGCGCCCGGTGTAACCCCCCAGTGCGGTGCGCGCGTGAATTCGCGGCCGGCCTCTAACGCCGCCCCACCCCGCTGCGTTACAGCCAAACGGGCAAGCGTCTGATGGCCAAGTGTCGGCTGCTGCACCAGGAGAACGAGGAGCTCGGCAAGGTGGTGGCCTCTGGCAAGCTGGCCAAGCTGGAGACGGACCTGGCGCTGCAGCGCAACCTCACCGAGGAGATGAAAAAGGCCCAGTCAGGTGAGCACGCCGCCAGGAGACTGTGCCCGTATGGTGGCTCTGTGCCATAGCCCGTATGGTTGCTCTCCTCAGCTGTCGTGTTGCTCTGCATTTGCTATGGTACATTTGCTCACTTCGTGAGTTCCAGAATATGCTTATGGTTATAGTCATCTGGCAGTCTGCGGAATCTGGTATTCATAGTTTATCTGTCATCCAAGGAGGGGCACGGTCTCTCTGTGGCGTCCATGCTGATTTAGCTACTTTCAACTGGCCACACCACAGGATCGGTTTGACTTATTCAGGACTTACGGCGTCATGATGGGAGAGTTCGTTTGACCTATTAAAGGGATCTGTATACGATTTATTTGAATGTTTGTTTGCCTTTTTTGGTGTAGTCTTTAAATTATGTCCAACTAAACTGATATTCTTTCTAGCATTGTTTACTTCCAATCAGTACGTTACCAATTTACCTACCTGATAACTCTAGGATAGAAAGTAATTGTACGTGACCGTGTGCCATGACGCATATGTAGAAATTGGTGAGCTGGTTTGCAGATTACGAAGTGCCATCTCCAGTGCCGGGTGTGGCCCTGTTCTGACCGAGCCGCCGTGTACCGGCAAAGATAAATGAGTCCTCTCCCCGTGTGGTCCTGTTCTGACTGCCCAGAGTGTACCGATGTGGCTCTGTTCTGAGTGCGCCGCCGTGTGCCGGCAGAGATGGACGAGCTCGTCCAGGAGCTGGACGAGGACATGGAGGGCATGCAGAGCACCATCCTGCACCTGCAGCAGCAGCTGCGCGAGGCCAAGGCGCAGGCGGCGGCCGCGCCCAGCTCCAACGGCGTGTCCGCCCAGCCGGCCGACGACGCCAGCGCCAGCGCCGGCGCGCTCAACGGCCACGCCGAGCCCGAGGCGGAGCCGGACGGCGAGCAGCCGGAGCCGGAGCCGGAGCCGGTGAAGGAGCCGGCGGCCGAGCCGGAGCCCAGGACGGCAGTGACGGCGGGCGGCTCGCCGCCGGAGCCGGCGCCGCCGCCCGACAAACCGGAGCCGCCGGCGGCCGCCGAGCCGGAGCCCGCCGACCGGACGAGCCCAGAGCCGACCGGGCGGCGCCGCCGGCGGCGGGCCGAGCAGCCCGAGACGGGCGCCAGCCCCGAGCCGGGCAGGACTAAGCGGCGCGCCGCCGCCGCCGCCGAGGACTCGCCCGGCCGGCGCGCCAAGCGGACTCGCTCCTCGGACGATGGCGGCGCGCCGGCGGCGTCGGCCGACTAGCGGCGCCAGTGTCCCCCCCCCCTCCCCCGAGCGGCGAGGGCGCCGCCACCACACCGCTCCCCATGCCCGCGACGCATCATCGTATTATCTTACGTTTTCTATGAGCCGTGTTATATTTGTGATGTTAAGTTCAGTCTGTCTGCTCGGAAAGCAATTTCTAACGGTCATCCGCGCGCGCATGTCCATTTTATCCCGTCCCGGGCCTGTGCTATTCCACGTCAGATCGTGGAAGTGATCGTGGTTTTAACGGATGACCATGTTATGTGTACAAACTCGAATACATAAGTATTGTGATGCCGAACTTGTCACGACTGCCCATGTGGTTTCAAACCCAGCATATGGTTAGCATCCTAGGTCATTTCAGGGGAGGAAGCTAGGGATGAACTGCGCTCGTATGTTTGCCATTACGGTATTATATCGGTTGCTCGGTGTCCTTGGGATGATCCTGGCAGAACCCTTGAGATGAGCAATCGCACTGTTCCTTAGTTCACAAGATGTGCCGGTGTTTGGTCATGATCTTCGCAATTAGGAATTCGTGAATTCATGTGTGCGCAGACATTCGCAAGACATGCTTCAAGATAACGCCAGCCTTCGCTTTCAGAGGTCGATTTCTCGCAATTTTGACGACTGAAATCCCGAATTTTTAGCAGGGCTGACCCTCTCCGCCTCGTCTGACCTCGGCCATCATCGTGTCCGTCTATCTAGCAGCAGATTGGCGGATGTGCCATCGTCTAGTGTATCTAACCGGAGCGTAGTGATAGCTGGAGATCAGTAAGTCGGATGGCGAGCAATCAGTTCTTTTTTCTATGAAGGGGGAGTGCCTCGCTTTATTGGTAAAGTAATCTTGCCTCGCTCAAGAGCAATCCCGGCTGCCATGGTACACTAGCGCCACATACATTGTAACACCACCACCCGTCACACCCCGGACGAGACCCTCACAGCAGAGGTCGTACGTGGTCCGACCACCCCCGAGGTCTGCTGGCCGCTCTCCGTCACTCACTCATCGATCAGAGGCTTTAACTGTTATACGGTCGCCTACGAATTGCTGACATGAACACACACCCGACATAGGCGGCGAAACGCGACCCGACAGCGTATTCATCGTAATTCGTGTAGTCAGCAGCACTAGTCGACCGCTCCCGGGCCATTCTGGACATAGGCGGCGGAACGGGGAGGGCACTGGGGCACCGTGCCCCACTTTGATTTTGGCATTTTGACATAAGCCCTATGGGCGTTGCATGGAAAGAATGGGACCAAAAGTTGGCAGTGCCCCCCCCCCCCTAATTGAAGATGTTCCGCCGCCACTGATTCTGGACAGAGGCCCGTTCAGCACAATGTCGTCTATCTCACCAAGCATATCGCACTGCCCACCCTGTCGCTAGCAGTGTACCGACCGATCAGAAGCCATGTAGGTCTGCGCTTTTCGAGACAGGTTCTAATGGACGAGAGGCGCTTCGCAGAGGTGTGCGGGAAGTGCAGGGGTGCTCGCAGTGAAACAGACGACCGTAATAGAGCTGGGTTTGTAAGAGATAGAGCATTGCTTTCACGCACGTCTTCTGCCCTGCAGCTTAGCACGCGGCCTCGCCAGTCTGTACAGCGGCGGGGTAAGTAATGCTGTCATGTTGAAAGGGCTTTCAATAGGTCAGCAACCTTACTGCCGTGTGCACTGTGATTAACCCTGTAACCTCGCCACGAGTCACCAGCCGGCTACGCGAATAACGACCGCGACTCCTTCCACTACATCAGGCCGCACTTTGTCCGTTTCCGCGCAGACAGCCCACCCGTCCCCCCCCCCCGGCTCCCGCCTCTCTCCCCCCATTCAAAAGCCGGCGTGCGTCGCTGCGTCCGTGTATTTACTGTCCCTCGGGCATGGAGCGGATGATGTCGGAGTCGCCCGGGTCCGTGATGGCCATGCCGCACACGCGGAAGTACTTGCCGCAGGCGGTGCCCAGCTCGATGTTGTTGCCGTTGTAGTGATGCACGCCCGTCTTGGCCAGCATGGCGTAGTACTCGATCTCGGATTTCCTGCGAAACCCAGCGCAGGGTGAATAATGAACAAATAGCAGCCTGGGACACCCCTATGCCCTGAAATACCTGTGCATAAAATTCTAAAAAAATCGATTAACATGAAATTTGATGGCATTATATGCCCATGAAGACATGAAATAATTATTATTACAGGTATAATTATTATTGTTAGTATTATTACTATTATTACTATATCAGTAGTAATATAATTATTATCAAGTACTGACTGAGCAAAATCCATTTGTGAATTTTCTTTCTTAAAAAATGGGTACCATTCCTACAATGACAAAAGCCATACTGATTCTCTTATAATTCGAAATTTGCTAATCGAAATAGCCTTGCAAGATACAGTATGGCTTTTGTGTGTTGTTTGAGACTTCTCCATAGACGTTCAGACCCATGGCATGGGCTGAAGGTCTACTTCTCAGTCTCACCTAAGGGCAGGGGTGTTGCTGGCAATGATAACAAGCTTAGCTTTGCCCAGGCGAAGCTGCTTCAGCGTCTGCTTGTAGCCAAAGCAGTATTTGCCAGACTTCATCACCAGGGCCAGCCTTGAGTTGATGGACTCCAGGGCCTTCTTCTGCAATACACAACACAGAGGGGAGTCAGGTCACAGCATTATGTGGGCATGCAAACTTCCATGGAAACACCAGGCTCCTCTGAGGGAATGCAATGAAATGTCTCGTTTTATGTCAACAATCAGGGACTGGAGATTTTGGCAGCGTACCTACTAATCACCATGCACACTACCATGCAGTTAAAATTAGAAGGTCAAAAGCTGAGAGATCAGACATACCTGCTTCTTCTGGGCCACCATGGTTGCAGCTATGTATCTGAAAAAGAAGAAATGGCAGTTCAACCATCAAGCATAAGGTCTTTTGCTTCATCTTACAAACATGAGTTTCAATCTGAATATACACTTCACTGTGTGTAACTAAGGAATTTTGAAGAAGATAATAACTGTAGATGTTGCTTCATTTTAAATTGCTTCTTTATTCAGGCTTAACCTTCTCCAGACCTGTTAGTTTCTACAACAGCACCAGCCGATGGGAGAAGGGGGTTACACGACCCCCGTTTAGCCTGATGGAGTCGAGGGCCTTGTGGAAAAAATGACCGTTTAGACCATTATGAAATGCAGCAACTGGTTCACGATATTACAGCCTCAGGTCAACTGTTGACCTCTAGACAGGTCAAGTGACCAAAGGCAAGGATCAACAGCCTCAAAAAACGCCACAGAGCGATGTTGGCACCATTGTATTCTCCTGGCTCAGGCCCAGACTGGAAAAAATACACGTTATGCCGAATATGTCCGGCGTAGTGGCGGGATTGCGCCGAAAATTTCAGCGCAAGTCCGGCGTAACTTCACATGCGCCGAATTCAGCGCATGGCGGCGGACGAATTTTTCGTCGCAGGGCAGTCGCATAATTTTTTTGGCGAAAGACGGTCACTGAATTTATGCGGTACGCTGGTCAATCTAGCAGCAGATTCTCCCCGCCGGCGGCTCTGGAGAGGTTGGGGGACGAGACGTCCCTGCCTCGGTCGTCGCATGCTCAAACTGGCGAGCCGCCCTGAGTCTACTCAGCGGAGGAACGGCCTCCCAGGTGAAGCCTCAACCTTCGGCGTAGAGATTGGTATGGAAAACCTTGTTGAACGTTGCCAAGTGTCGTTAAGCAATAGCAGTGGGTTCCTGCCCCCTGCAGTATCGAGGGGAATGAGAGCGCGGACGACCTGGCAAAACAGGCGGCCGCCCTGCCCTCAAACGCCCGATCGCTGACCAGGGCGATTCATTGTGCGGCCTCACATCAGTGGCGCGACAACTGCCCAGAATCACTATTCAAGCCACTCTTCAGGAGCACGTCGTTGCTCCCTATCCCCGTAGAGGACTGAGAGGATGCCATTTGGGAGCACCAGATGCTCGCTCCAGTACGGCAGCGAATTGGCTATCTCCACTCCGCCGTGCCCCAGCAGTGCCCAGACAACCGGTGCCCAGCGGCGCTCTGCACCGTGAGCCAAAAAGAGGCTGATGTGCCGGAGCACGTGCTGCTCCGCTGTGGGCTGCCCGGCCCTCTCTGGCTCCCGCCTCCTGCCGAGGTATTGGGTTTACGAGGAAATAAAAAACACATTCGGACGCTCAAACATGGGAGGACGTACAAGGCCCCAAAACATTCTGTCTGGTTGATCTAGCATTGATCAGTAGATGTGCACATGTGCTTTATATGAAAAGGGCTTAATTTTCGCACAAATAGACACGTAACTTTTCAGTCGGGGGAGGTTTGGTCAATCGTTGTCATTTTTAGCACGTGCTATTTTTGTCACACGTGCTAAAAATGACAACGATTCTGCTATTTTTGACAACGATGAGGCCGATTTCACTCCTCAGCGAGGAAATGAAGATTTTGGAAAGATAAACACTGATTTTGGAAAAGAAGTGCTGCCACCTGGTGCAAGACGAAGAATCCAGCTTTAATATGCCTGTTATTTGTATGGTAGTTTGTTTTGTGGCCTGAAGTTGGAACTTAAAATTGAAGCATCCGAAAATGATCGATATTGATCGAAAACATGATGTTGATGAAAAAAATAATATTTTAAGTTGAGAGAGGAGGCCATTTTATCCAGATGCAGTAGTTTACTTCTTGAAATTATTTTTGCTAATGACGGCTGCTAATTATCCCTCATTACATGGCAGTCGTCGTAAGCAAAAATAATTTCAAGAAGTAAACCACCGCATCTGGATAAAATGGCCTCCTCTCTCAACTTAACATATCATTTTTTTCATCAACATCATGATTTCGATCAATATCGATCATTTTCGGATGCTTCAATTTAAAGTTCCAACTTCGGGCCACAAAAAAGGGTATACTTCAACGTTGGACTACCATACAAACAACGGCCATATTAAAGCTGGTTTCTTCTTCTTGCACCAGGTGGCAGCACTTTTTTTCCAAAATCAGTGCTTGTATTTCCAAAATCGTGATTTCCTCGCTGAGGAGTGAAATCGGCTTCATCGTTGCTAAAAATAGCTGATAGCGTTGTCATTTTTAGCACATGGTTGCCAAAAATGGCATGTGCTAAAAATGACAACCATTGACCAAACCTCCCCCAACTGTTTTGGCGCAAATCACGCAGAAATTTCTGCGCAAAATCGCTTGTGCCGAATTTTGGCGCAAGAGGGTCTTAAGGGCGTCCGGCGTAGTGTATGGATATTTTCCAGTCTGGGCTCAGGCGCATCAAATGATATACTTTAGTTTGTGAGGGCAACCTAAGGTGTTGACCACAGGCCACGTATTGCTGGCCATCATAATATTGTGCCGGACTGTTCAACAAAACACTGCCGCCCAAGGTCTGTGATGTCACATTCGACAGAATATTCTGCTGAGCCTGAAATAGGCCTCAGCCCATACAAACTACAGCCATAAAGCTTCATGAAGGGCAACAACCTAGAGAAAATAAGCAATTAAACGGCACTGCGCGAATGGAATATAGTAAAAGAAAATCTCTTAATTTGCAAAATGAATGAGAACAAAAGCGAAAATCCAAAAATTTCAATACGAGGAGCAGAAACATAACCCACCACGATCGGATCACAAGCCGGAAAGAAAGACGTAGAGATGATCGTGATGAGTAAAACAACAAATTATGCTATTTTGGTTTCGATATTGATCTGCTTAAAAACGTTCATTTTACACTGTAAAAATACTAAAAGCAATTTCAGGCAAAATCTTAAGTATATTTTGATAGACTTTGCAACTGAGTGAAACGGGTGAGACACGTCATCACTATTACTTGTACTTTCACGCACTGCTGCTAGATGACTCTAGCAGCTGCGCCAACTATTCTGTTATAGATGTCGCCTGAGTACGCTTCGATCCACCTCCACTCCCCCTGTCCCGTGGGCATGACTCATACTACCGACCACGGACTTTAGGGCCTTGCTCGAGACGCACAAATCCTTCCTAATTCCTTCACGCTAGCATTGATCGATCCCGCTGCAGATCTTTCGTCGCCAAGTCCAATACGGTCGCCTTCATCCGACGTGGGTTTGCTCCTCAGGGACAGGGGAGTTCTATAGCCTTGAGGGGCAGGCTTGCACCTAACGCCAGCGGACTGGGTCACGGGTGGCCTGTCCATTGTGACGGGCCCAGCTCCGGCGACGTATCAGCGGGGCCGCCCAGACCAATGTGTGCCCCTAAATCCCAAATGTAGGTATCCGTATACCTACCTATTCCTAAAAGAAGACCGAATGCCTACCTGCAACGATTGGTATAAGAACATACAAGCACATTGCACATGGGGCATTCAAGAGACAAAACTTATAATATATTTAACCTTTGACACCGTCAAAGCTGTCGATCAAGAGCTGACATTTTGCCGGACAATAAACGACAAGCTTATCGCCAGCGAACAGGCAATTGTGGGAACACTGCCAGTATAACCAGAGTTCCGCAGAGTGCAGAACAAGAACAACATAACACGATAGCTGCAATCGTCAAACACTGAAAGGGTAACTGGTGAGGGTACCGTCCAGGCCGACGTCAGGCTCGCCGCGCAACTGGCTGCTGTCCCACCGGTCCCTCAGAGCCGGAGCCGCCGCTCACTGCTCCATGAGTGTGAAGTTGTCCCAGCTCGGCCAGCTACCGGCGTCGCCCTCGCTCGGGTCGCCGGCGTCGCCCATGAACTGCAGCATGACGATGATGTAGGTGATGATGGCCGACCAGATGCTGAGCAGGGTGGCGCGCTGCAGCCGGTACAGGCCCAGGTCGGCGGCCACCTCCCGGTCGGCGGCCAGCGCGCGCTGCAGCCGCTCCAGGCGCGGCGCCAGCTCCGGTCGGAGCTCCTCCAGCCGGAGCAGCAGGTCGCGGCAGCGCGCCAGGCCGGCCAGCAGCCGCTCGCCGGCCTCGCACGGACCGACCAGCGCTACCAGAGCCGCCCACGAGTAGGAGGCCAGCATCAGCCACGAGAGCGGGTCGGCGCCGAGCACGAACATGTCCCTGGCGGCCACCACCATCTGGATCTGAGTCAGCACGCCCAGCAGCATGACGGCGGGCAGCTCGGCAGCGGCGGCCGACGCCAGCAGCGCCTGGCACTCGGAGAGGCGGCGCTGCAGGCCGGCCGCGCGCAGCAGCCGCCGGACCGAGTCGGCGCCGTCCCGACGGGCCACGGCCGCCGCCAGCGTGGCGTTCAGCGCCGCCTGACCACTCTCCAGCAGACCGGCCGCCAGCAGGAACTTCACCGAGACCAGGTGGAGGCTGCAGTAGACGACCGTTACGAGGATCAGCAGCGCCGCCTGGTACAGGGAGCCCGACCCGGAGCCGCTGAAAGTGTCCACGTACAGAGAGATATTGGAAAGTATCGATACAAGGGGAGCCATGATCACGACGATCCAAACGTACCAGACGGACGGCGGAGGGCTGGGCTCGTTTTTGTTGCGGAGCTCGGCGGCGTCCTGCAGCAGCGGCAGCAGCTGAGTCAGCAGGGCGGCGTACCGGCGGCGGCCGCTGACGAACACGGCCGTCAGCGCCGCCCACAGGATCACCACGCCCACGCCGAAGTAGCTGGTGAGCACGCACGCCCTGATCCAGTGGAGGCCGGCTTCCAGCAGCAGCCAGCCCTGGTGGAGGTCGGCCAGCGCGGCCAGCGCGCACACGGCCGAGGCGGCGGCGTACAGGAGGGCGGTGTAGAGCAGCGGCCGCCAGCCGGCGCCGCCCCACAGACCGGCCAGACGCAGCAGGCCGAGCAGCAGGCGCGCCGAGCGGCCCACCGCGTCCGCGCCGCCCGGCCTAGTCGAGCGCCAGCCGGGCTCGGTCGGCAGATGGGCGGCCTGGTCCGTCGGCAGCCACTCGGAGGGGTCGGAGGCCGACAGACCAGCAGAGACGCTGGCTACGGGCCGGCCGCGGACAGAGTCGGGCGAGCGCATCTCAGAGGATAGAGGAAGAGCAGCAGACAGAGCGGATAACTGACACGGCGGGGACTAGCAGACGGAGCGGAGGGCACTCAGGAGGGCGACGGCTTACACAGTAGTGACCGGATGCACCCACGACCGGCCCTATATACCACCACGGACGCATCTACAGGTGGGTAATCATCTTTTGCGCAATTTGATGGATAAGTTCACCCGGTCGCGTCATTCAAACGTACACCAAAACTGCCGTGAGTGGATATGGAGCGCGTCCGCGCGCCTGTTGGACGCGGGCACGAACGCCCGGATCAGCACTTGAACGGACGGGGGGCACGTGATCGTACAGAACTCATAATTGGCATCGGAGCTATCAGTCATGGCCGTGCAAACACCGCGAGCAAATGTCTCCGGCTGATGAATGCTGCCGCCATCGACCAGGGAAAGACGAAAAGAAGCGACCAAAGCGTGCACCCTACAGCGGCCCTACATGGTGCATGTAATGAGAAAGTGGCAGGCCGATAAAACCAATTTTGTTGGATCACAAAATACACAAGCCCGATGAAAATGAATGGCACATAGGTGTAATTGCATGGGCAGAACTGGCGAAGGGGGGGGGGGGCAGTACAAACAAAGAGCGAATATACACCATATCGGTTGTGTCACACCGGTGGTACCGGCACCGGTACTCCAGTACTCAATGTCTGGGGACAGACCGGTGCCGTGCGCAGTTCCACTACACACTGCGAAGGACTGAATGACATCATGCCCAGGTGCTCTGCTGAATGTTAGAACAATTATAGAACAAGAATGTTTCCGTCGTAGTCAATTTGTTTACTGTTCCGGTATGTGGTGCTTTCGTGGATAGATTACCAACGTTGCCAGCTAGACGTAAAATATTTACTGGAAACTAACGGTTAAACGCATATGCTTGCGGGGAATGTGGCCGTTCATGCACTCCATGATTACTTGCGTACCAACTTTCAAAGTCCAGTGCCTTGGCTAATATTCACCGTACGCCGAACGACATTACGACACATTGAGCCAATGCACTGAAATGATAAATGATTGCCAGATGACGGCAAACGGTAATCTACTGGCCACTGGGTCTGGTGAAAGCCGAGTGATTTATCGTCCTGAAAGCTTCCCAGGCTCGCCGTCCGTTTCTTATTCAATGAATGTACCGATAGATTCAGTGACGATAACCTATATTCGCGAGCCGCGACTACGTAATACCTAGGTAATTTGTTACAAAATTTGAATCGCGCTGAATTAAAGTAGCGCTTACCCAAACCGATAAGAACATGCCAATAATTTAAAACGTCAACGTTTATTACAACATTTCATGATTCAATAATCAATGGTGTAATCAAACTCGAGATGTCTTAGAAAAGCAGCGGCGACATTTCGTTAAATATACCCCGTAACGCCGCTCCTAGAACCGCCGCCCACAGTTTGCCGCGGCCCGACTCACGCGTCCCTCAGTCCTGCCGGCAGCCGCAGCGGCGGCGGGTTCCCGCAGCAGACGCCGGGCGGCGGTCAGTCGGCGGCGGCCGCCTCGGCCCGCTCGGCGGCGGCGGCGCCGGCGGCCAGCAGGGCGTGGTCGCCGTCCCAGCGCGGCGGCACGGCCAGCAGCAGGTGGTTCTTCTCGCTGCAGTCGGCCGGCTCGGCCACCGTCAGCAGCACGCGGTAACCGGCCTCGCGCAGGTGCGCCGCCCGGTCAGAGTCCACCAGCGCCATACACCGGCGGCCCTGGCGCGACTTCTCCGAGCCGTCCGCGTGCGTCTGGTCGGCCGCGTGGCCCAGCACGAGCCAGTCGCGCGGCGCCGCGCCCGTGCGCCGGCCGGCCGCGCTGCGCGGGTAGCGCACAGAGCCAAAGTCGTGCACAGCGCCGTAACAGCAGGGGCAGCAGACGAGCGCGGCGCCGGCGGCCAGGCACCGCTCGGCCACCAGGTCGGTGGCCACGCCGCACGCGTGCAGCGCCACGCCCAGCTGGAACTGGCCCCGGTAAAACTCCATGTTGCACTGATATAGGCTGACGTTGGTCAGGTTGAGGGCCGCCGCGCGGTCCTGTCCGCGGCGCAGCGATTCCTCCTTGTTCTCGACCAGCACCACGTGACAGTCTGGCCGCAGCACCGCCAGCAGCAGACCCAGGTGGCCGCCGCCGCAGCAGAAGTCGACGATGGTGTCGCCGGGCCGTGCGGCGCGCACCGCCAGCCAGGCCAGGTTCTCGAGCTGGTGCTGTTTGCGGGCCAGCCGGCTGGCGGGCAGACCGCCCTCGGCCGGGCTGGCGGCGGCCGGCAGCGCGCTCCAGTCGAGCCGCAGCTGGCCGCTGCCCGGGTGCGCCGCCACGCGGCTGACGAAGCGCGCCGCCTCCAGCCGCTCCAGGGCGGCGGCCACCTCCGACTGTACGGTGAACAGCCGACTCTTAGGCTTGTAGCGCGCCGGGTCCTTTTTGTAGAGGCTCTGCGGCGCTACCACCGGCAGGCTGAGCGCCAGACGGGGTCCCGGCTGGCCCGGCTGCTCCGGCGGGAAGCACGCCGCCCACGTCTCCGCCAGACCCGGGACGGCCTCCACGGCCGCCATCCACTGACTGACGGCCGGCGCGGCCTCGGACAGCCGCAGCCCGTGCGGCCGCAGCGCCTCCGTCAGCAGGCGCAGGCACGGGTACAGCAGCAGGTCACTGATGGTCAGCACGTGGCCCTCGGCGTACGTGTGGCGCACACACTGCAGCGCCGTGCGGTGATCGCCGCTGCCCCAGGCGCGCACCGTGCCGCCTGACGCCTGGTCCTGCTTCCACACGTTGTGCACGCGCAGTGGCTGGTGCATGTGGTGCTCGAACTGGAGCAGCTCCGCCGGAACGGTGAACTTCACTCGATCGGAGCAGCCGCCGGCGTCGGTCGAGGCCGGCGGCGGGGTGACAACAGCGCCATCTGACCCAGCAGATGACGCCTTGCCATCGGCAGCTAACTCCTCGGCAGAGTGGTCACAGCCGTTCGGGACGGGGGCCGGCCCCGAGCCGTTCACGGACCCGGCAGTACCGGCGCCCACCGCTGCACTCGGACCCCGTGTGGCGGCCAGCGCGGCCCGCAGCGCCTCCGGCACGTCCCTCTCGCAGAAGCGCGTCCACAGTGAGGCGTCGGCGGGCGGCGCCAGGGTACCGCGGCGGAACCCGAGCAGGCTGTCGTCCCGGCGGCAGTAGTGGCCGCCGTCCGGCCAGCGCAGACCGTCCACCGTCTTCACAGCGCGGCGCACCACGGCGCAGAGGCCGGCCACGCAGAGCCGCTCGGCGGGCAGGTGGACGGCCGGCAGCCGGCAGTCGGCCACCTCTGCCGGCAGCTGCGCCTCGGCTACGGCCGGCCGCGGCAGCCGCACGGCCACCGGCGCGCCCGGCCACTGGGCGCCCGTCACCAGCACCGGCTGCAGCCAGTGGGCCGGCACGCCGGCGCCGCGGAGCGCCAGCAGGGCGGCGGCCGTCTCGGCCGGCACCAGGCCCGAGCTGCTCAGACACGGCAGGTAGATGCGCAGTCCGCCGCCGTCACCCAGACAGTCGGCGTCGCCCGGCTGCGGGCCCAGCCGGCAGGCGAACCGGTCCTCGCCGGCCGGCCGCGGGTCGTGTCTGTCGGCACAGGGAGGTGGGGAGGTCAGTCAGGAGCGGCCGACACAGAGAACGGACTACGGACTGCACCACATTGTTCTGCAGGAGGGTTAACTGGCTGCTGGTGAAGAGAGATATACCAGTTGCATACTTATGATCACTGAATTGCTCAAAATATTGACATAGCTGACCATTCCCAGTAAAAGACAAATACACGAGACGATATAGGCATGTGAAAATTAACGAACACGTTTGTGCAGATTTGTCTTAATATGCCAGCTATTTAGCTAGCAAACTACCGTTTCCATGTCTTAGCATCAGGGCTGCGGAGTCGATGGATATTCGGCGACTCCGACTCAGACTCCGGCTTTTAAAAACCAGCTCCGACTCCGACTCCGACTCCGGGCAGAATCGTCGACTCCGACCGACTCCAACTCCCGACTCCGACTCCGCAGACCTAGCAGGGCTGCGGAGTCGACAGATTTTCGGTGACTCCGACTCTGACTCCGGCTCGGGTTTCTAAAATCGACTCCGACTCCGACTCCGGTCACAACTGTCGACTCCGACCGACTCCGACTCCGACTCCGACTCCGCAGCCCTGCTTAGCATAGGCTTGAGAAAAATCTGAGAAGTCCACAAAGCCCTGGCATTATAAATGACAACGAGATAACCAATAACTCGGCCAGTAAGGCACTGAGCAAATTTCAAGGCGAGTTTTACAGTTCGCGTCGGAGCCAAACCCACCCTGTGGCCATGACGTTACACTCACGCCCACCCTGTGGCCATGCCGTTACACCCACACCTACCCTGTGGCCATGACGTTACACCCACACATACCCTGTGGCCATGGCGTTACACCCACACCTACCCTGTGGCTATGCCGTTACACCCACACATACCCTGTGGCCATGCCGCTACACCCACGCCTACCCTGTGGCCATGCCGTTACACCCACACATACCCTGTGGCCATGCCGTTACACCCACACCTACCCTGTGGCCATGCCGCTACACCCACACCTACCCTGTGGCCATGCCGCTACACCCACGCCTACCCTGTGGCCATGACGTTACACCCACACATACCCCGCGGTCATGACGTTACACCCACACATACCCTGTGGCCATGACGTTACACCCACACCTACCCTGTGGCCATGCCGTTACACCTGAGCGGCCAGCTGGCGCTGGATCTTGCCGAGGGCGGTGCGCTCCAGCTGCCGCTGACGGACGATCACCGCTCCGCCCGACACCAGCGCCGAGCACAGTGAGATGAGCTCGAGCAGCCAGAACTGGCGCTGGCCCCGGTCCCGCGCGCCGTCACACCTGCACGCCAGCACACAACACACAGACAACTGTCACTGGCCGGTACTCTTAGTGGTTAGTCGCCACAGTTACACAATAGACATAATATTACCAATGGCTATAGATTGCGGAAAGCAGAACAACGCATGTCGCTGAAAAACGCATTTATTGTTAGCAATTAATTTGCAGCAGTGTACCTACATCTGTTAGTCAGAGTTATTGTGTATTGTGGAAGCGGCTCTACCACAAATACTAAAGAGTAGGTACAGACTAGTGGTACGATAAGTCAGTCTCCTGAAAAGAAAATAGGCAAAATGTTTTCAAGCACAGCACAAAAGGACGATTAACCCGAACGACCAGAAGATGGCAGTGCTGAACCGAGAACGGTACCAAAGTGTTGAAGCTCGGTAATGTAAGTCAGAAACGGTCCGATATTAATCCTCTTTTGTTAGGATGGGTCAAAATGCTTCAAAGGGATGGTAACACATCGTTTAAGAAACAAACCTTTCTCAGCGTGCTGCGGACAGATCTGAACCGTCAGATAACTATTCGGATTTTTTCACTCAGTCTGCTGAACAGACGCTTACGCTCATCGATGCCAAAAGATGGAGAATCATTGTACAGGGTGTCTCAAAAGTTCGTTCACACATTTCCCATGCCAATAAAGCATATAAGAACCGGCCAAAAGTATAAGGTTTTGGTATCTGTGTGTACACTAGACAAATATGCATGCTTTGACAACTGATTAAGAAGGCTGGAAACCAACCCCTGTGCTGTATCTCCAAAAATATTTGCCCATACCGATTTTTGTTGCTCCGTCAGCTGCCGGAGGCTGATAAAAGGTTACCAGCTTTCAAGCTCTTGCAGGGGAATCCCCTGCAGTTTCTGCGTCGGATTTAGTTTTGACTAGCTCCCCGGCAACATCTGATTTTCCCTGAAAGCCGACAGCTTGCATCGACACCATTCTTGAGTATTTTGTAGGCATTCTCTGGCGCTAACTCCTTCATGAATGACTGGCGCCGACATCCCAAGCGCCATTTTCCTTTTCAAAACGACCCCAGTCCTGAACAAACGGGAAGTGCCAGGAGTAAATTTTTCGCATCATATGGTAGAAGAATGTGTCGGACGTCTGTTTCTCTGACATAGTGTGCAAATTTTGCAAATTCCAAGCGCTCGTCATTCCCCATGCCAAGACCTTCGCTCGGTTGCGGAGTGTTTTCCTCGGGAGATGTTCTGCTTTGTAAACGGCCCAAACCTGTCCATCGTGTGGTTTTATCGGGATTTTGTGTTTAAAAGAAAATTATTCGCTGCAGATATGCCTCTTGAAACTTCGTTAGATAAAATTTTACAATAACTGACACTTTTGGAGGGTCAGGTGTCCTTGGCATTGACGATTTTTGTGTTATTGTCCCCAAAAAATTAGCGTTATAGATAGCATAAACAATTTTAAATTATAATTTGTCTTTATTTTACGATGACCTGCACTTTTTGAAAATGGGTAACCTCTGTCTGACCTTCTTGCCAGTTTTCAATAGTTATGACCGCATTTTCAGCTGCTTTCCGGAACACGAGTCTGCTGTCGTGCGAGGGTCGTTCAAAACGCCGTTAGTCTCGCATGGTTTCGTCCTTCAAAAATTTTAGCCACCGTTTTTATGAGATGATCATCATGTTGCACTCATCCTCGCCGACACTTAGCCATGTGTCATTTCCGACTTAACCATTCCCATTACTCCTGAAACAGAGAGTTTCACAACATACCCGACTTTGCAACCTACATTTTCGTGCCTGACCCATGGTCAGAGGTGAACCCTTTTTGTGAGCTCATGAAGGGTCGAATGCACTTGAAAACAATGAGACTGCTTGAGGAAGGTTGTCACCAATGCCCATGCAAAATTTCGGCTGTTAATTTCTTGTTGATTCAGAATTATTGACAAAAAAGGATGGCTGGTACCTGTGAACGAACTTTTGAGACACCCTGTAGGCGATATTCAATGTATACAAACGCTTGACAATAATCCAGAAAAATAAAACAAAAAGGAACTGGAACCGATGTGTTGAAGCAAATAAAAGCCCTATAAACTGATATGTTCAGATGAATGAAAGCAATTGCCCCGACTGGAATACGGGCGACTGATTGTTTAGATGACAACACGTTAATGTGCTCACACAACCAGCCATGACAGTAACCAGTGCTTTAGTACCACTAATCGAGTTCAACTAGCTGAAGGTGCGCTCACCATTCACCGATCGCAGCAGATATTATGTTATATGTAACATCTGTCGCGGTCTGTATGTATCGGGTGCCGGAACAGACCGGACCAGACTATCCTATCACTAACCGGCTCCGATAATCTGATGCTATACCAAGTGAGGACAAACATTCCGGCGCACCAAAAACAATAGGAAAGTTGCTTACCCTCTGTACACCTTTCCGTCCTTCTCACAGTTGAGCAGCTCGATGTAATCGCTATGCGCGCATTCGGGGACGCTTCCACTAGCCTTCTCAAATCCTGAAACGATCCATTTTTACTAGCGGTAAGACAAGTGAACAGTAGAAACGTTTAAGCATTCAATATAAGCTGGCTGGTAATAAGCGTTGTAATGTTCTCAGCAGTCAGTTTACTGATGGAATGAACTGCTGAGCAACAGTTTATGCATTCAAACTACCTACCGTAAAAGCATTATTAAGGTAAAAAGAAAGTGGTATGGCATTGCATAAATTAGGTACCTAAATGTCAGGTGGTCACTGCTCATGAGCATCTGGAATGACACTATGCACATAAAGAGAAAAACATGTCAATATCGACTACTGACCCGTACACCGGCGGCAGGGGCGAGCGACTGTGAACGTCTGACTCTCCCAGCAGTGCCGCTGGCTGGGCGCAGACTCTGGCAGCGCTGTCGCCGGCAGGGCCGAGGACAGGTTGTGCGCAGGCGGCAGGGGAGCCTCTGAGCTGACAGCTACGCGCCGGCCGTGCACACCGTCCGGGGTTAAGATGTTCTCCAACAGCACAATGATGATGCTCACACTGTCAGCAGAGTCGGGACATAGACAATCAGCACTTACTCCAAAATTCATTCCAACTTCTTTTAACAACCATCATTTCATTTATTGTTAGACATTAGTCGAGAGCACATAGTAACATGCAGCAACTACCTAGTCTTTTTAATTTCAACTGATAAAATGAACGAAGGTAGACTGTCAAGATTCCACTGTATTATGACCTTCGATGCATTATTTATAACATTACTCAGCGAAGCCATTTCTCATGAATACAAAGTGTTTGTCAGCCACATCTCACCAGACTATTGAAGTTTGTACTTAACTCACCAAACAAGTACTATAATAGCTGCAATCATTCGGCGACGAGAGCAGAGCTCAATCATTCTTGACAAGAAGGTTAACTAGTATTAAACTCCGGGTCTAGGTATCACAGCTATACTTCATTACAAAACGTCGTCAATGATTCAAGAATACTGCTGAGAGGGAATTTACACCTCAGTGACTTTCTAAAGCTTCATGCATGCCTCCTTTATCCATAGCTTGAGATATTTAAAATGGCCCATATGTGTCTTCCTCTTGTCAATTCAAATTCGTTTTCTGTAAATAATGGTAAATATCAGCAAAACTTTCATTGATGAAATTAGGTGGGTTGAGAAAGTAAATGCAGCAAAGACCTTTCCTTAATCCTTACACCAGATGGGACCAATTCCTCGCTATTCTACTGGGCATAGTTCTCAGCACCCTTCCACCGCAAGTGTGCAAGCAAAATGCTGGGCATTTGATGTAACTAGTTAATTTTAACTTAGTGACAAATTACCTGTCACAGACATTTCATTTTACCATGCTTTTACACTCTTTCTGACGTATGTCCTCAGATTAGGCCTAGTAAACAATTTAGTATGCAGATGACAAAGACAGTATATAATAGGGCCTGGGCAAAGTTTTTTTCTGCAATAACTTTTTACTCGAGAGTCGAGAGTCACATCAACATGAAGTGCTCTTTCATTTGAAAGATACCCTGGCCCTGGTAGCGCAGTCAGTTAACCGCGGTGCGAGAGGGGCCGGCTTCAGGTTCAATTTCCGATTCCGCCCGTTCCGCGGGCGTCGTCCCATGGCTGCGTCCTATATACCCTGGCTGCGTCAGCTGTCATCAGCAGGTCATCAGGGCCCTGTATCACCGTCCGGAGTCCGGACATATACTCTGGTCCGGACGGCATGCGCGCTGCAGTGCGCCAGCGTGCTGGTGCGGCGTTCATGGGCGTTTAAGATGAATTTGGCTCGACACTTCAGCATTGCGAGGCGTCTGAGTTTATGTTTCCATGGAAACCCAACGCGCCGCTGGCATGCTGTAGCTCCCAGCGTGCGCAGCGTCGGGACCGTGGGTGAAGGTGTGGGGTAGGGCATGGGGTAGGCTCCCACTTCAACCGTAGTCTGGGGGAAGGGGATAGGACGAGGAGGACTGCCTGACTGGAAAAAATACACGTTATGCCAAATAGGTCCCTGTCGCCGAACTTCGTCGGCACGCTGGTCAATCTAGCAGCAGATTCCCCCTGCCTGCGGGCGGCTCTGGACTTCTGGAGAGGTTCCGGGACGATACGTCCCCGCCCCGGTCATCACGTGCTCGAACTGACGAGCCGCCCCGAGTTTACTCAGCGGAGGAGCGGCCGCCCAGGTGAGGCCTCAACCCTCGGAGTGGAGATAGGTATGGAAGACCTTGTTGAACATCGCCAAGCGTCGTTAAGTAGTATAACTGCAGTGGGTTCCTGGCTCCTGCCCACTGCGGTATTGAGGGGAATGAGAGCGCGGCCGTCCTGCCCTCAAACGCTGACCAGGGTGGTTCATTGTGCAGCCTCGTATCAATGGCGCGACAACTGGTCCGAGTCACTATTCAAGCCACTCCTCGGGAGCACGCCGCCGCTCCCTATCCCCGGAGAGGACCGAGAGGACAACGTTTCGACCTCCGGTGCAACAGATGAGGGTGGGCCCTGGGGCCGCCCACTCCAGTATGTGTACCAAATCAGCAGTCCACTCTGTGGCGTGCCATCAGTGCCCAGACAAGTGGTGCCCCGCGGCCCTCTGCGCCGTGTGCTGAGAGGAGGTTGATGTGCCGGAGCACATGCTGCTCCGCTGCCTGGCCTTCGCTGGCTCCCACTAGCTTCAAAAACACTGCTCTGTCTATTTTTGGCCCCGGAACATCCAGCTCCGGCCTTGTTTCACGGCACGACGCTACAGTGCCCTATGCATATTCAGGTATTGGGTTTGTGGGAAAAAACTTATTCAGATCCAGATGCACAAATATTGGAGGGCGTCCAAGGCCACAGAATGCTCTGTCTGGTTGATATAACCTTGATCGGTAGATATGCACATGCGCTGTCTATAAGTGGTTTAATTTTGGCACAAATAGGCACCCAGTTTTTGGCGCAAATCATGAGAAATTTAGGCCCAAAATTGCTTGCACCAAATTTCAGCGCAAGAGGGTCTCAGGGGCCGGGGGCGTCCAGGATAGTATACATAGGCGGCGCCCGGCGGAACAGGGAGGGCACCGGGGCACCGTGTCCGTGCCCCCTTTGATTTTGGCATTTTACCATTAGCCCTATGGTCATTGAATGGACAGAATGGGACCAACAGTTGGCAGTGCCCCCTTTAATTGAAGGTGTTGCGCCGCTACTGGTAGTATACGAGTGTTTTCCAGTCTGGAGGAGGAGCAGGTCAGTGAGGTGGGTGCTCACTGCTCTCTCCTTTAAAGGGACCCTCCCACCTTAACCCTCGCATGTGTAGGGGGGGGGGTCGGATGGACCCCCCCCATGGTTTTTCGCGAATAACTCGCGTAAAAAGCGGCCGATCGCGACGAAACTTTCAGTACCCTCGCATTGATCAATTTGACACCTACCCTGAAAATTTCATGACCCTGACCCAAATGACCTTTGACCTGTGACCTCTTTTCCGAGACCATATTTGGCCGGAATCGCGATTTCGCGTATGTCGGCTCGCACTAGCCGCGTGTTTGCAAGCTTTTCGTGGTTTCAAACGTTCAAACATGTGATTTGATGTTACTCCCGTGTGTGTCAAGGTCACCTGAAGGTCAGGTCAGGTCATTGACCTTTGGTGACCTCGGGTGACCTCGGGTCACTTTTTCGAGTTTTACATGTTTCTAGGCTAGTTTTTGGAGCTGAATTCGAATTTAGCAACCATTTGAACATTTACGAAGTAGTTTTGGTGACTTCGTAACATGTTACGAAGCTGTCAGAGGCGGTTGACACGTACTACGAATACCCGTCACGACGCCTACTGGTTGACCTGACCTGACCTGACCCGACCTGGTCTAAATGCTTCAATGAGTTCAAGACATCATCTGTGATCAAAACTAACACAATATTCGTGATCAGCACCCCGAAAAACCCCTTAGCAGCCACACTTTACGACTTTCTAACAGGTCCCGATTTTCCCGACTTTGGGTCATTGACCTGACCTGGAAGGTCAACCAATGACCTAGGACCTTAAAATTGGGTATCATCGGCTTCCTCTCGTCACGGGCAACACGCTCGTTTTTTCCGCGAAGCTCTAGCTCGATCAGGGGCCAAACGGCAAGGGGGGGGGTCCAACCGACCCCCCCTACACATTAGAAGCTGGCAAACGCCGCACACATGCGAGGGTTAACATTAGTTTTGAGTTGAGTTAGCCAAATTGGTGGCCATGGCCTGAAAATACCAGTTTGGGCATTCACAACATCGAAAAATGCTTTAATTCGGAGATATGGAATTTCAAACTTGCAGTTTTCGGATTCTAAGGGGCTAATGCATTGGTATGCCCCCTTAGAATTTGTGACGTCAGCGGAGATCTAACGATTTTAAAATCTTTTACTAAAATGTTTGGCAGCACGCGGTGGTATATGCTGCTTTGCGCGCCACAAATGCCGCACTTTCAAATAAAGTCGCTAGGAACAGCGGAGATCCCAAAAAGTAAACAAAAGTAAAAGTCTAATATCTTGAAAACTGGTGAATATTTTTCGATGAAATTTGGTAGATATTCATTTTTGCTCTTTCTGAACCAAGCGACATCACTTTCATGCCAATTCATTAACTTTTTTGAAGGTGGGAGGGTCCCTTTAATTGGGAACTGTGCCCGTTGGAGACAGGTCCGAAAAAAAATCTAAAAATAAATAAAGAGAGCACACCATTGTGAAAATTTACTGATAGTACAAGTTAAGCTAAGTAATCAAAAATTCCAACAACAAAAACACTTACAAATTTAACGTACTCCCCCACCGCTTATAGCGCCGCTTCCGTCACACTCTCTGCTTCAAATGTCAAATGTCAAATATTTGCTTGTCAGATAGATTTAATATGACGTCATAGGCGAGATAAGGTTAAAAAGGTATAAATTTGATATTTGTTTGTTCGTTGAAGTTTTGTAAGATGAAACATGAAACTAGGTATGATATGGTTAACCGCACAGTTTGAAAGGTAATTTTACAGCTCGAGTGTCATAGAGCAGCTATACATAACGAATGACATAATTATATTTATTAGGCTCATAACGTCATTTTATCAGTAATTTAGACAATCTTTGAACCAAATTTAAACTATTTATTCACTGTTCATTTTATCAGTAGCTTGCTGATGCTGCCAAATATGGAGGCTAAATGCCGGCATCTCATTGGTGATTAGCATGGGCAAAGTTATATCTAAACCCGAGAAATGGCGGCATGCTGATGGAAGAAAATTGTGAGCGAACAAAATTCGGTATCAAATTATTGCACAGCGCGGGTAAATGATTTTCAACGGAGCAATAAGATCAAGATCTTTGGGATAGGTACTTGTTATCCGTCGATGTTTTATGCGTACAATCACAATATTTTTTTAGGGATGTTTGAGCTTCTATAATCAGTTTCCAATGTTTTGATTTGTTTGGTCATATAGTGGACAATGGTTAAAGCCTTTTTGAATTTATCCCATAGGAGCCGTAACAGCGATTGCCTCACATGACTGTAAAATTTAATCAAACTTTGACGATGACGCTACAGTGCGCTTATTGCTTATTGCTACAGTGTGCTTATTGTGCTACATGCATCAGTGTTTTGGGTTTCCATGGAATGGAAACATCAATAAACTCAGATGGTCGCAATGCTGAAGTGTCGAGGCGAATTTGTCTCAAATGCTGCACCAATACCTGCTGCAGTGGTGTGCCTTCGGGACCGAGTCTGTCACAGTGGGCCACTGAATTGGCGAAGCAGCACCGTAAACGATCACCCCACCGCACGTGAGCCCGCTACTGATGAGCTACCTACTCACCGTGGTTAAAGGTGACTCTCCAGCCCAGAACAGGTGGTTTGAGGCAGGCGTGGAGTGGAGAGGAAAGTTTATTATCAATATCTTATAAATATCGGCTGCCAACGTGGCGCCTGGCGCCTGCTATGCAGTTTGCACTGTGAGCGAGCTATAAACTGATTCAAAAGGGCAATTGGCAAAATGGGCAATTGGCGAAATGGGCAACTGGCAAAATGGCAAACTGTTTCAAAATGGCTATTGGCTTTAGGGCTTTTGCCAGGTCACACCCTCACATGTTTAAAGTTTGGCAGGCTCAATTCTCATTTCTCAACAGGTGTGGTGGGCCTCGGTGAGGCAATAAAATGGCATACCATCCTCAATCCTAATGCATGTTGGCATGTCACAGACCATTTGCTGTGTCATAGCTCAGCTTCTGAAGGCGGCGTGGTGCAGACGTTCTCTGTGTTTGTGCCCGTGTAAGCGTGACTGCCAACCGATGTCATGAAGGACTGGAGCTAATCGACTCCCTGGCGAGGCGTCATTCTTCAGGCCATCAACATCTCCCGGAACTTGGCTGACAGAGGTGACAAGCTTTGCAGTCTACGCTCTAATCCTGTGCAAATTTTACGTGACCCGTGTGTTATAGGCCTTGAGTCCTAAAGTCCTCTTCGGAGAGAAAACAGCGTCTGTCTGAGAGAAAACAGCCGTTGCGGGTGAGTCGCTCAGTCTCCTTAGTCACCGACTGACCTACCTCAGACCCTCAGCCGTCGACTTCAAGACGAGTCTGGCAAGTGGCTACGGTGGAGAGAGCGGGTGGACGCCCCAGTTGGGACGACCAATGACATTCCCAGTAGCCGCAAATGTATGCAATCCGTGCTGGTCTTTGCGGGCAGATGATCCGAGACGATAAGATACCACACAATTTCGTGAACTACACAGAGCGGACGAAGTAAATGGCCAATGGTAATGTGATCTGTTACACAATGTATGTTTTCACGTGATCTGTTGTACAATGTGTTTTCACGCCCAACTTCTCCCGACAGGCTGGCGCAATGAGTGACGAGGAAGATGCCAACATTCCCGATGCAGACACATGTCAAGCCAGATGTGTCGAGTTTGCCAAGATTACCGGAACGGACGAAGCATGCGCCCAATTTTTCCTGCAAGATCACGATTGGGACCTTTCTGTAAGATTTTACCACCAGTTATGCTTAAGAGGATTGTTTTAAGATTGTTTATTTCGTTGAAGATTACACTTGATCAGCAATGTTATTGACCTGCTGGTTGTGTGCATGCAGAGGTCGCTGAACTCGTATTTCGAAGCCCGAACGACCGGCGGTGGTGTGCACGTCGTCCCTGGAAGTTCGGAGGCATCAGCGATCATTACCATCGAGTAAGCACTTCCATGAGGGTAACCATCACTGGACATATTTCCAAAGTCTGAACAAACAGTAGACCGAGGGTTTTGCAAACGCCCTGGCCCTGTGCCTCGACCCCTACTCTACCGCCTGATGGATATAGTCCGAGCTGGACCCATCCGCGAGAAGATCAGTGGAATTGTATGGAGACATGTACCCATCACTCTACTTAATGATGACCTTTTCGCACCCTGACTGATGCTTATGTCGATATCCAACTGAATTGATCATGGATTGAACAATATTGATTGATTGATGGTCAACATTGATATGCATTAATATGTCAACTCAGTTTACATATATACTTTTTTCAATGACGCCTATGTGTAAATCGCCAGCGATGCGGCCGCATCAGCCTTGGAGAATGACCGAAAGAGGCCCAGGGCATCGGACGGCGATAGCTCTGATGGTGCAGACACCTCGAGGCCGAAACTGACCGCCACCCCGCCCAAGAGGTTCTCCTTTATCACTTGGAACATAGATGGCCTGGACGACAGAAGTCTCAAGAAGAGGATGAAAGCCGTCTGTAAGATAATTGAAACGTGAGTTGAGATTTCAGCTTGTAAGACATTTCCCTTTTTACTGTTAAAGATTTCCTGACTCAACCCGTGTAGTTCTCCATGCTCTTCATCGCAGTTTGCTTGGCTCGCAGTGAGGCTCCGGATATCGTCTTTCTGCAAGAGTTGACGCCGAACACGTACCTGTACATCGAGGCCAAGCTGCCGCAGTACGAGCTGTTCTCGGCGGGCGCCGACCGCGACTACTTCACGGCCACGCTGCTGCGCAAGTTCCGCGTCTACTCGGACGGCCACCGGATCATCGAGTACGCGCACACCTCCATGGGGCGCAACCTCCTCTGTGTGGAGGTGAGGCTGCGACAAAACGGCGTCTGGGCCAGTTGGCATAAAGACGGATATAAAAGTATTGCCGCTGAGTGTCGCAGTAAGAGTTCAGTGAGGACACAAAGTAACGGGTGCAGCACAGAGCTCGCCAAATCATTGTCAAGTTTGGCGAGCACCCATTTCAAATATCACCGCCAGAATGTCTGCAACTAAAATGCCATGCTTTACTACTGTATCATTATCGTATTAACTTTATTATATACATTATGGACTATGGCACATATTTTTTTTCTCTCTCTCTCTCTCTCTTCTCTCTCTCTGAGAGAGAGAGAGAGAGAGAGAGAGAGAGAGAGAGAGAGAGAGAGAGAGAGAGAGAGAGAGAGAGAGAGGGAGAGAGAGAGAGAAGTCTGTGACTATTGGTATTGCTATGTAATGGCATTTATGCGTATTGTAGGCACACATCGGGCCCCTGAAGCTCACGCTGCTCAATACTCACCTGGAGTCCACAAAGGCGCACTCTGATACCCGGATGAAGCAGCTCCGGGACTGCTTCTCCCGAGTCAGCGCGACGAGCCCCGAGCGCGTGACCATCTTCGCCGGCGATCTCAACCTCAGGGATCACGAGGTAGTTTTGTATTCGCAGACATATGACACTGCTTATAGTGACAGTTTATTTTATCACCGCATTTACTTTTCGTTTGGAATCTTGCTTTTTTAGATGTTTCCGAATATCGAGCAGTATGTGCTGGAAATCGCCAATGCCTTGACAATGCGTACCTAGTTATAATAAAATGCGAATCTTGTGAGGAAGTGGCTATCAGTGATGCAATGGCATGTTCCCTCTCGAAAGAAGTCTCTGCAGGCTCGCTGTTTCTGCGCACAGATGAAGTCAGTGGGCGGCCCGCCTGCGGGCGTGTCCGACCTCTGGGAGCGCTGCGGCCGACGGAGGGAGGTCGAGTTCACATGGGACACCCAGCGCAACACTAACAAGGAGATGCCGGGACGCTTCAAACCGCGACTGCGTTTCGACCGGGTGTACCTGCGCGACGCGGGCCGCGTGACGCCCGTGCACTTTGGTCTGGTCGGCCTGGAGAAAGTAACGGGCACGCAGAGCTTTCCCAGTGACCACTGGGGTATCCAGGTGTACTTCAGTATCGACCAGTAGCAGAGCACGGGTATGAACCGATCACCGATGGCCGAGCCGGTTCAATGTCGCGTGATTGTGGCTGAAGAAGACTTGATTGTGATGTTATTGTGATAAAGAGATTGCAAATGATCACAGGAAGTTTTTTGTTTCTTTTTTTTTCTATGCGATGTCATTTCCAAATAGTGCCAAAAGTTTGTCGCCGTCATCCATTCCGCTATGCTTTTGATAGGCTGTAGATGTAGATGAGCATTGTAAATCAACTTTTTGTGCAGTCTTGAATACAACTTTGCAGTTTATCATTAATTGTGGAGACAGGAGAAAAATGCCTACATTTTGCCGAAATTCCTTGCATGGAAGTGGGTGTGCTAGCAAAAACGTCCCACGAAAATCAATTGCGGTCAATGGAATGGGTAGTCTGTAGTCTTGTTTGAGCTTCTGACATCAATTTAGTGCGTGTCCGGATGGTGCAGCATTTTATGCGTCCAATATGCTCATCTGTGGCGCAAAAGATTCAATTGTGCTTCTTCTCAAGCCAGAAGCTGAATTTGAATACTATAGGACTTGAGGATTTTTGTGGTTGTATGACTCTTTAGTGCCCTGGGCTAGCAAGCTACCTAGGTCTTGTGGGGGTAGAGGGAGCCAATAGGGACGTTGTTGTTGTTGTTGTGGGTTAGGGCGCGTAGCAAGCCAATAGGGACATCTAGATGGAAACTTCTTTTTTCCGCACTGTGTACAACACGTGACAACATTATATATATCATGCATGTTTTCTGTCAACTTAAGTAATAACTTAGGTAGGTATCTGTCAAATGCCAAATGGTGTAACTTAAAGAGACAAAAATCCCTTTCTGTATTTTTCTCAGGCAAGTCATCATTATTGAAAATGGTCTCCAAACTACTTGAACTTCTCCCAAGTCTACCCTGTACATCGGAGGCCATCCAAATATCTGAAGAGGAGCTGGATAAGATTGGCAATGGTGCATTTAAGATATTCTGCAAAGCAAGAGAGAACTATATTATCATGTTAGCCCAGGTTGACAGTCCATTTCCAAGCATGGCCAAGGCTTTGAGTGAAAGGTGCTGGGAAGAACTAAATACCAGTCATTGGGCAGAAGTTCCACATGTGTGGAGGGTGCTGTATTCTTACGCAGCCTTGTTTCGCTCAACATATCACTTGAACTTGTACCTGCAATCCTCACATTCTAATGTTCAGGCTGTGAAAGATGCTCTGTATTATTGTGACATGGGCCTGATAATGGGTAAGCCAGTGTTGGACAATTTACTTACAAAAGTGGCATCCTGCTGTCACCAAGAGCTAACTTCATGCATTCAGAACACTCTGACCCACTCAGCCTCCACAGCAGCAGTCTGTGACGAGCTGGCCAGCAGGTCAGACGCGTGTCCGCCGATCTCGGAGCCGGTGCCGCGGCTGCAGTGTCCCTCCGTGGAGCGGTTTGTGCGCGAGGTGTTCGGCCGGCGGCCGGCCGTGCTCGCCGGCTGCGTGTCGCACTGGCCGGCGCTGCGCTGGACGCTGACCGGCCTGGAGCGGACGGCCGGCCACCGGACCGTGCCCGTCGAGCTGGGCGGCCGCTACACGGACGCCGGCTGGTCGCAGCGGCTCATGACGCTGGGCCAGTTCATCGAGCAGCACGTGCGCCGCCCGGCGGCCGGCGCGCCGCCCGGCTACCTGGCCCAGTACGAGCTGTTCGAGCAGATCCCCGAGCTGGGCGCCGACGTGCCGACGCCCGAGTACTGCTGGGTCGGCGCCGGCGACGCGGTGCACACCAACATCTGGCTGGGCCCGGCCGGCACCGTGTCGCCGCTCCACCACGACCCCAAACACAACTGCCTGGTGCAGGTGCTCGGCAGGAAGTTTGTGCAGGTGTTTGCGCCGGAGGAGACGCCGCGCCTGTACCCGCACGAGGCCGCGCTGCTGCACAACACGAGCCGGGTGGACGCCGAGCGGCCGGACCTGGAGCAGTTCCCGGCGTTCGCCGGCGCGCGCCACCAGGAGGTGGAGCTCGGGCCCGGCGACCTGCTCTACATGCCGCCCGGCTGGTGGCACTACGTGCGCAGCCTTAGCGTCAGCTGCTCCGTCAGCTTCTGGTTCGAGTGACACTGCACTGCAGACTGCCGGCAGAATGCAGGTTAGTACAAGAAAACCGTAATAAAATCTTACAAGATATCTCGCAAATCATGCGAAAGCTTACATAGTTGTTACTAGGGTGGCCCGCGTGCTCCGCAACGCGAAAAGGGATATTTTCGATCGGCGGGTGTTCGGTTGTTCTTGTGTCGGTTGGGTTATCTATCCATTTCGGTCGATTGCTTTTTGACGGCTAAACGTTTTGGTTTGTGGAAAAAATATCCACCGCATCGAGGTGCCCGTGTCTGATAAGCATGCTTTCCACTTCAGAATCTGTCAAATGTGCTTTATAATTGAGGTGCGTAGTTTTAAGACAAATGAAAGGCGTAGATAATTTTCGCTAAAAATCGTTTTGCAGAGGTTTAAAACATTTATATTTTTAAGAATACTGTTGCTTGTCATGCAAACGTGATGATTGGATCTTGGAGAGAATTGAATGCTCTTTCTAATGATAGCATTTTCAATTGTCAAGCGTATCAGGTTAAAGGTAGTGTGCCACCTTTGAAAGATTTCCCATTTTATTTTTCCTAGGATAAGAAGCTTCTGTTTTTACATAATATCGCAAAAAAATCAGAAATGGGCCTGGAATAGTGCCTTTTTCGCCTAAAAGTTTTTCGGTTTTTAGATATGTATAACAACTGTAGTGGGCTCACCTGCAAACAGGCGTCGGGCAACAATCGCGAATGCGGCGCACTTGTGACAATAAGCAAAGGTCATTATAGTGTTACGACCATACGACGTACGGGAATGAGTTATCAGCTGTCTAATCGTAGACAACACAATGTCGAGCCTTAAACTCACAGTGTATATAAATTATCGGGGTTACATGAGCACAGTAAATACGTATTTAGCCGCTAATTCGAATTAGGAACGCATTACCGACTCATGTAGCCACCTGCTAGTACGAATCGGCGATCCGATCCGCGGTTACATGAGCAAAGCAAATACGTATCACGATCGGATTCACCGCTAATGCGAATCAGGAGCGTACTACCGACTCATGTATCCACCTGCTAATACGAATCGGCGGTCCGAACAAAATCCGCTGGGAAAGAGGCTTAGAAGCGAATAGGACCAAGATACGTATTACAGGAACTATTTCTTCGCAAAAAGAAACATTAAAATGCAAAATAATAGGTATTGTTTTCATTTTCTTCTTTTGAAATAATATTTAAAAAAATATTTCGGTATTTTGTCAAGTTTTCAACAATAAATATAGTGAAAACCAAATAGTAAATATCCACATAATTTCAGTTGAAACATTTTTCTGACAGCACTACAGACGAATTAAGAGAGGCAATTGCCCAATGAGTCAAAGCAAGACAACTTTATGTTCAACTTTTTTTTGTTAAGTTAATTGAGAATGTTTTTAGCAGATTAAATGCAAAAAAGACATAAGAAAATAAATTTTTAATTTAGTCACCTCTATTGCTACGGAAGTGCGCCACATTTGTATGCTATTCCGTTTGTAATGCGCATCGGGCCGAGAGCCAAACTAGATCCGTTTGACGTCACTGATACGAATTTGCTCATGTAGTCGGTGCACTGAATGCGTTCTTGGGGAGCTGATACGAATTAGCGTAGTGCGTATTTGGAACGGATCGCTCATGTAACCGAAACGTCCGAGGCACACGATTCGGGCCGTATTTCACAAGAACTATTCTTTGCTGACTGGAAGCGTCAAAATGCAAAATACTAAGCATTTTTTTTTATTGGCTGCCTCGTAGAAAATAGCAAAAAAATGTTGGTATTTTGGTTTAGTCTTTGCATGTGAAATAAAATGAATGAAATATTTTGATAGATAATTTTTTCTGACCACCCTGCTGTCGCTGCATGGCGAATCAGTGCCCACTGACTTAAAACAAGAAAACTTTGTTTTCATTTTTTGATTTCATGTTAATTCTAAATGTTTTTGAGCCTATCAAATGATATAAGTATTTAAAATTTAGCTCAGTCGTCCCGGTAAATGCCGCAACTGCGCCATGACTGTACGCTAATCCTATTCCGTTTGTGATGCGAATTACCGGCCGTCGAGGAGTCAGCCCGGGTGAGCCAAACAAGATCCGTTTGACGTAGATAAAACGAATTAGTCTCATGTAACCGGTGCCGTAGATCCGTTTGTGGGGAGCTGATGCGCATTAGCGTAGTGCGTATTTGGAACGGATCGCTCATGTAACCCCGGTATATGATGATGATGATGATGGTTTAGAGGATTTGCCTTTGCAACGGCTCCTCCTATTCTTTTAAACTGTACTTAAGCTATCGCGCTATGAGTTGGTATGGGGTGCATGATAGTATTGAGCTCTTTTTCTTTTTGCCTTCTATATCTTAACTTCCACATGCTGTATAGAATTTGTTTCTTATCTTCCATATGTTTCCTATTATCATCAAATAGAAATTTCATAATGACTTCTTCTTTATCTTCCCAGTATGGCTGTTGCAGTTCGGGACATTTCTCTCTAATCTCACTCAATATTGGACATTCCAACAAGAAGTGTTTTAGATCCTCATTTTGTTCATCACACAGAACACAGTTTGTTTTCTCTTTTGTAAACCTCTTCCTAGAGTTCAGAGGGAGAGTGTTCGTTCTTGCTTGAAAGAGGATTCTTGATTGTGGGGTGTTGTCATATACATCATCTTCTTTTACCTTCAGTTTCCATCTCTTGTATATCCTCAGACTTGTTTTGGTCTCTACTTCCTCTTTCCATCTTTTATCGTCCCACCTGATCATATTTTGGTTAAGTTCTTCTTTCTTCAAGTCTCTCATGTCTTTTTGGCTTAGGTTTAGCGTTTCTAGGTGCGCGTTGATCATTTTTGCCCATTTCGTACTCTTCTCTTCTAATTGAGTTTCTATTACTTCCTTCAATAGTTGGTTATTTCCTTGAAGAGTGCTTCTAACATACTGTAGATGCCCTTTCATAACTCTTGTTTTCATCGTCGAAGCTCCAATTTCGCCCCGGAGGGCACAGTTGGCGGTATATCTCGGTGCACCGAGTATCTGTCGATATACTCCGTTTTCTATCATTTCCAGTTTCTTTACCTCTTCTTCCGTTATGTAGAATATGTTGGCACCATACAAAATGGATGGTAGAGCAAGGCTCTTCCAGAATGTTTTTCCTATCATGAGCTTGTTGCAACTTCTCGCGATCACCCCATAAGTCATGTTTGCCATCCTTTGAGCTTTTTCTATCATCTGCTGTTTCTGCTCCTTGAACATGTTTCGCTGATTTCCAATCCTTATACCCAGATACTTCAACTTGTCTGTTGTCGGTATTCCTTCTACTTCAGCTGGTTGTTCCTTGCAATTGAATACCAATACAGCACTTTTATCCTTGTTAATATCCAGACCACACTTCTTACTCACTTCGGTTAGAACTTTGATCAGCAGTTGTGTTTCATGAAGTGAATGTGCTAATATTAGTCCATCGTCTGCAAAGAACAGTATTGGAATGTAGAATTTCCTGTTTCTGAACCCAAGCGTTGTCTCCTGTATTTCTTTGGTGATTATATACGTAACAATCTTGAACAATGCTGTAGAACCGGTACATCCTTGTCGAATTCCACTTGTCACGTCCATTTCCTCTGTTGTGCTCTCATTCAAGTTGATCAGTGTAGAGTCTCCTTGGTATATATCTGCTACGGCATCTATAACTTTTGGATGGATCTTATATGCCATCAAAGCTCTTATCATTTCACTTCTTTTCACGGAATCAAATGCTTTTCTATAATCGATTGATGTAACATACAGTGGGGTCTTCCTTTTATAGCTGTCTTCTACGCAATAGTTCAGGATGTAGAGGTTATCTTCAATCTTCCCCCCTTTCGTGAATCCAGCTTGGGTTTCAATTATAGCATCATTTTCTCTTATGTGTTCTTCAATCTCATTTTTCATTAGGGTCATGAAGATTTTATACCCTACATTTGTGAGCGCTATAGGTCTAAGGTCTTTTGCTGTTGGGCGTGGTACCTTCTTTATCATTCTTGTCTTTGATGTTTTCCATTCACTCATTTTCCTTCTTTCTTCCACTTCTCTTCTTATACAGCTCGTTAATATTTTCAATCCGTCCCTTGTCTTTAGGAGTGCTTTATACATCTCTGCTTTCAGTCCATCAGGACCTGCTGATGTCTTGCCTTTCATGTTTTTAACACATCTTTGAACCTTTTCTTCGCTTATGATTGGCTCAGTCATGGCCTTCAATTCACTTATAGCAGTTTGAGCCAACTCTTCATGATCTTTAAGTGGTCTTCTGGCATTGATAGTTTGCTCATCATGTTGCAAAGTTCTGATGTATTCACTTTTCTTTTCTTCATTCCATACCTGATTTATGTCATTTTCATGTTTTTGGTATACAGTCTTCCAATATCTTACCAGTTCTTCCTTCTCTTCCTTTTTCTCTAGTCTATGTCCATCTGTGCTGAATAGGTTGGTTTCCTCATTCTTTTTGCCATCCTTTCTCCTTAAGTTGTCAATGTTCATCCATAGCGCCTTGCTTCTGTTTGTGCTGCATTTTATTTCATTGGTTATCTTCTTTTCATGTATACTCATCTGCTCTTTGACCAGGCTTTGTACATGTCTTTTCTGCTTTAAATACAATAGTTCCATGGCCTTTACCTCTTCCTGAGTTGAGGCATTTCGTTTTTTTCCTGTTTATTTCTTTCCTTTTCTTGATTTCTTTTCTTATTTCTTTTGTCATCCATGGAGGTTCTTTCACTTGCTCTTGTTTGTTCAGAACTCTCCTTATATATCTGGCTTTCAGCTTTTCTTCAGCTGTGTCTTTCATTGTTCTATTTAACACTTCCATCGTAACTTGTTCTTCATCATGTACCCTTTTACATACTTCTTCCGCAAACTCTTTTAGTGTCTCTTCATCAGTCTTATAATATTCAATGACATCTTCCTTCCCTTGGGTGAAGTTTAGATTTTTTCCATCTGGTATCTTCATGCTCACAGTAATCATGTTGTGGTCTGACAGATCGAACTTTTCTCTGTCTTCATCTATGATC